CCACCATGCCCATTTTGTGACAGTTTGCACTAATTACGAGAAAAACCTAATTGAGAGGAATGATTTCCAAATGTTTTTATATGCCTCCTTAAAATTAGGTTCCCCGCTTTCTTTCTATGTGTGTTTTGTCCTAGAAAATCGTATGTGTAAAAAGTTAAATTTTTTTCCAATAGATCGGAGGATGTCCTTGTCGCACACTATTGCTTTCCTTGTCGCACACTATTGCTTTCCTTGTCGCACACTATTGCTTTCCTTGTCGCACACTATTGCTTTCCTTGTCGCACACTATTGCTTTCCTTGTCGCACACTATTGCTTTCCTTGTCGCACACTATTGCTTTCCTTGTCGCACACTATTGCTTTCCTTGTCTAGCGTCATTAGACGAGGAGAGCGCTAGCGTGCGACAAGGACAGACATATACGTGCGACAATGACAGAAATATTCGCGCGGTATACGAAGAGGGCAACAGCGTACGATAAGGACAATATAAATTTCCGGCACCTGTCTTGGGGGTGATCCATGCGGTGCATGCTTAAGAGAATTATGTAATTTGTAATCATTTGCATTTCTTAAAAATTTCTTAATTTAAAAAAGAGATTATAGAGTATCTGAAAGATGCAGTAACTTAAAGTTAGTAAAAAATCTGCAATTTTTGCTGCAGTACTAAGATTGCAGTAAGTTATCATATAAATAATAAAATAAAAGTAATGTATGAAAAATACATAAAGAATCTTAAATAGTACTTAAATTAATGTAAAATGTATAAAAGTTTAGAAAAGTTTATTCAATAGAAACAAACAGTTACTTGATCTCGCAAATTATATTGGAAAGTTTTATCAAAATTATTCATGAACATGTACATGTAAAGTATATACATTAAATTTGACGTATAATTTTGAATATGAATGTTTATTCAATCCATTAGTTAATAATTATTATATATTCCAGTATTATATATATATATATATATACAATTTACGTACAGTTTATATTATGCCAAATTAATTTATGAACTTTTTTTACGTAACATGAAGAATAGAATTCAAGGCAGATTCTATGATTACATTCATATCGCATACAAAATGTGATCGAGATTTACTAAGTAAATACTTTAGTTAAAAATATAGTATTTTTAACAGACATTGCTTTTGCTTAAATTTTAACAAGGGAATACAATATTACTTAATCTTGCAAAGCATTCATCAAGCTAAATAAATAAATTAATAAATAAATATATCAGAATATGTGCTGATGCTGTGATGAACGTGTACAAAAATTTGTATCGAATATTTTTATTAAGCACAAATTTGATTATAATTGTAAGTTATATTTCGTATTTGAATTATTGATTCCTGTGTCGTAAAGTTACAACACTGTTGTGTCTCGTACATCTTTTTATAATAGCTAAAAATTATTAACATTACAAAGACATTTTACGGCCTTCAATAGATATATCTACAGCTCTCCTAGTTGCTTTTATTCTTTTGCTATCCATGTAGTTTTTCATGTGCCTTTCAAATCTATTCATTTGTTTCTTAGTGCTCTGTAACATTACATTACTTACAAATTTTAAAACGTTAAATATAATGAAATATAAGAATTATACTTACTCTGCTAATATCAACATCAGACTTCCAATCAGGTCTTATAACATAATCTTTATTAGAAGGTCTAGGAACTCTAGCTCTTCCAACCCAACCTGGATCCCCAGGTCTCAATGATCTAAAAAGGATTGATTTTGTTATCCAAATAAAACTAATTATTTTCATATTGAGAGTTTGAAAAATTCATACTTAGCATCTCCTTTTAAGGCTTTATTAATATCTTGCGATTTTTGAGAAGAACTACCATCATCTGTTTTTCTTCGCTTCTGTGGTGTTTGTTCTAAATCCCTTTGCATTCTTTCTTCTTTTGACAACGCTTTAAAATCTGCTGACAAATTAAAGATAGGTCTTGCCCATTCATTAATTAATTTCCCTGCTCGTTCTTTATTTTCTTTTGTTTCTTTAGGATGTTTATAGAGATACATTACAGCTTTTCCGATACCAGACTGTTTTAAAGAAGCTTGGTCGATTCGTGGAAACTATAACAATAGATTTTGAAATATTAAATTATTTTATAGATAAATACAAATATATCAGTGATTAAAGCATAAACTTACTTCCCACAGAAGTTTTAAAAGACTATCCCGAATTTTTAAAGATGGCAAAGATCGATCAGGCATTGGTGCCAACCAATCTGTTAAAACTGACAATACATTATGCTCCAAGAAAGCTAACTGAAGATCGTGTTTTTTAAGTTGTGATAACACTTTGGGCAACATTGCAATTTTATTAGTAGCTGGTTTGTTTTGTTGATTTAATTTTCTATCTTCTTCTGATGCGGTTTTCATATCAGATAATAATTGAGCTATGATATCGTCATTATCATTAATTATATCAATATCCTTTCTCTTGCGTCTTCGTGATTGTTCTTCTTTCTTACGAGCTAACATACGATCGAAATCCGACAATGTATCATCTCTAAAAATTAGTACATTTATCATTAATCATTAATCTCAAATTATAATTAAGTGAAAAATTTCTTAATTAAAATACTTTTTAAATTAACCATCATTATAATTTTTAATTTATTATTACATGTTGGTACTCACATATATCTGCTACTCCTGATAAACATACATAAAAAATTTACATTCATTAAATTTATATTCATTAAAATTATATACAATTTAATTTCTCAAATATAAAATTTAATTCACTTACAATCCTGTATCTGCGATCACTCCATCGTCAGAGTCTTCGTTTTCTTGTTGCTCGTTGGCTACACTATCTTCAAATTGTTTATTCTCCCCTTCTTCTTCACCTTCCTCTTGTTCATTTTTTTCAATTTTCAATTTCGTTACTTCATCATCTGCTTCATTTTCCGAATCTGTTATTTCATGTTTTAATTTTTTTGTCGCTTTAACACCGTCCTCTTCTTCCTCAGAGTCGGACAAAACTCTATTTCTTTTTCTAACAGCACTTTCTGAATCTTCACTTCGACTTCTTGATCTTTTAGACTTTGATGCTGAACGAGATCTTGATCTTGATTTAGATCGGGACGAGTGTCTAGATCTGGCAACGGATACTGATCTCGATCGTGAACGTGATGGTGAACGCGATCTTGAATGTGATCTTGATGGCGAACCTGAAACGGACCTTGAGCGGGATTTTGACTTTGATGGGGATCTCGATTTCGATCGTGATCCAGAATGCGATCTAGAAATAGATGCTTTTGAACTGGAACGAGATCGAGATTTAGTCGACCTAGAATTAGATCTTGATCGAGAATGGGAACTTTTCCTTGAAGCTGGAGATTGTGATCCTTTACGTGATCCAGACACTGATCTTGAATTTGATCTTGATTTCGATCTTGACATTGATTTTCTTGAACCAGATCGCGAACGTGATCTAGATGCATGCCTCGAACCTGATGGTGTCCTTGACTTTGAACGTGATACTTGATTGGGTTCTGCTGAAGGTGATCTAGATACGGATCCTTTCAAAGATGCTCTAGGTGATTGCTTTCTTGATCCAGAGTCTGATTTGGACCGTGATCGTGATCGTGAATGAGATTTACGTTCTGGAGATCTTATAGGAGATTTCGAACGTGTACTGATGTGTGAATTAGGGGAATCTTTCCTTGATATATCTATCGATTGAGATTTTGATCTTGAGCGCGATCGAGAATTTCTAACAGGCGATGGCGAATGTTTCCCTTCCAAAGATGGAGAAGGTGATGTTTTCTTTTCACAAGATATAGATCTACTGCGTGACTTTCGATTCGGACTATTTGACGGCGATCGTGATTTTGGGGAATTTGATCGAGATCTAATAGCTGCTTTCGGAGACCCAGAAGGGGAACAGGATGGTGATTGCGAATGCGCTTTATACAATGAAGGTGATCTGGAACAGGAACGGGAATTCACTTTTGGGGAAGAGAGCGGATTGCTACGTTTAGTCGACGTTGATCTAGATCTGGATCTAGATTTAGATCTAGATCTGGATCTAGAGCGTGAATTTTCCCGCGATGCTAAATCAAGACTCTTCCTAGATTCTTCCAAAGAAGAACTCCTTGATCTTGACGGAGATTTTGCCGAACGTATTGAATGTGGCGATTCACTTTGAATAACTTTCCCATCAATTTCTGGTGACGGAGATTTAGAAGATGATCTAGAATTACTTCTTCTTTCAACAGATTTTGAACTAGATCTAGATGATCTTTCATTTTTAACAGATGCTGGTGAAGTTGAACGGTTTCTCGAGGGCGAACGTGATGGCGATCTTGAAGGTGATCTAGAATATGATTTTCTAGAATTAGCATTAGAAATCACAGAAGCTGGTGATCTCGGTTGTCCAGGTGATGACTGATTGGACCTAAAGAAAAATTTTCAATTTCAATTATCGCATGCTACGAGTAATATATTTTTAAATTATTTAAACAGGTATGATTTTCTAACCGTGGAGAACAACTGACAGAATTTGATTTAGATCTACTTCTATTGGATCTTTGAGGACTCACTGATGGACTTCTGGACTTTTCACATTCATCTTCGGATTCACTTCTTTCTTCTGCAATAAATAACCACTACATTAAGACTACATACAATATTTCTAATATCATACGCACATTAGAAAAATGGTTTAATTTCAGTAACATGAACTATAATTTACATTTAATTTTTATGTAGTAGTAACTTTTTCTTTCAATCATATTTAAAAAAATCTGTGCAATTCAACTTACCTTTGCGATTCATTGCACTTATATACAAATAAAAATGTACACTTTCTCAATAATTATTATTAAATATTTTTTTTCTAAAACAATAACACACGTATTTTTTTATGAAGGTCCTGCTAAATCACAAAATAACTTCTTTTTCTTAGCAATAAATCGGGGTTGTCAAACATATTCACGAAATACATTAAAATAATTTAAGAAACAAAGAAAATTTAAGATGCGCGTGATTGGTGATTTAGTTTTGACTTTTTGATTAACTTTGTCAGGTTAGGTATTGAGAATTAACCAATCGCTATATTTCTTAAATTAAATATAACCTTACTAGTACAGAATATCCCTAGAAACGTTCTATACATACTATCAGGAATTTGGAAGAAGACTAAAGAGGGTAGTTCCTTTCATTCTGTGCTACACGATTTCTTTGCAAATGTGTGCAAATACTTTCGACCAATAAATGTCCTTATATTTAAGAATGTATTGAATCTATTTAAAACGACCAATTAGATCCATATTTCTGTCATTCATTTTTTTTTTTTTCAACTCCATATTATACATTGACATAATTTTATTATGAAATCATTAAAATGTTGTTTATCATCGAGGAGTAATTTTTATTACATTAAATATATGTATATAAATAAATATATTAATTTTATTAAAGAAGATATATGTACATATATATATATTATTGCAAAAGTTAGTAAGGATTGATTTATAGATTGAAATTTAATTATGATCAATCTCAAATAAATGAAAACATCATTCGAATATAAAATCTGATAAAATTTTAACGCGACATTTCTTTCTATTATATGTATATTTCATGGATTGATCGAAGTTGACCGAAGATTACCGAGTTTCGTCGAATGTGTTTAAAGAACAATATGGCGGCCGTGGCAAAGTTTTCGCCGCCCGTATGAGAAATTAGCATTCATCAAGTTTGAGCAGTTTACGGTAAACGTTAATCGTCCGATAATCTTATTTGAATTACATAGCTAAGACCGCGGGTGAAAATTCGTTGGTGTCGTAGCACGTCGAGACAGCCCAATGCAGGTCGCGCGCAATTCTTGTAACTCAAATCATGACTTCGATGCTATCCAGCTTTAACCCGCCTATCGTTAAGCGATTGTTGGGTTGGAAAAAAGCGGAAGGAGAAGACAAATGGAGTGAGAAAGCTGTTAAAAGTCTAGTTAAGAAGTTAAAAAAGTCCACCGGCCTCGACGAACTCGAGAAGGCTATTACTACGCAAAGTTGCAACACCAAGTGCATTACTATACCGAGGTACGCTTACTTTATATACTTTTGCGTGCAGATAAATATTACAATCGATGGAATTTATATTTCCTTTTTTATTATTGTTCACTTATTTTTTATATATTTCATGATACATACGATGTCAGCTCAAAGATTTCGAGTATTGGATTTATTTGTGTCGTCTGCATTGAAACTCACGGAGAAATAGAAAGCGTTCGCGTGTGCTTTGCCGTTCATATTTACGTATCATGTATTCATACGTGTAATGTCACAACGTATATCTACTGACAGTTTTTTTCTTTTTACTGCCAGTATAAACGAAAAATGATTATCTAATCTTTCTAATGGATTTATCATTCGGAATTTTAACAATCCGCATATACGCTTTTATAATTGTATTATGCTATTTATGTTTCTTCTGCAGTATCATGATTTCAATTGCGATTGCGATTAGCATACGCACAGATGTATGACGTTTATTGGTCCTTACAATGTTAAGCTTTAAGCTTTGAAGGATTAAACTTCTAAATTTCTTCAAAATCGAGTTCATGTAATTTGGCATGTATTTGGTATTTGTAAACTTTAAGGTAAACAAAATTTTAGAAACTTTCCCGTTTTCAATTATATTATATCGGTTGCTAATATTTTTTGTTGTTGCTGAAATTCTAACACGTGTCATTCTTTCAGAGATATTCGCTTTTCCCACTATCAGATCTAAAATTGCACGAGTGCTTACCTACGAATACGTTCCATTTTCATATACTAGAGAATTCATTTAGCACTTATAATGTTTTTTTTTTCAAATAGAAATTTGAGAAAGATTTTTCTCAGCCAAGTGTGTCGAAGATTTCTAATATCTTTATGGATCGCAAGTAATCGTTACGTGTATACGATATTATATATTAATTATCATGTATTTAATCAATTTAACATATTACTTATGTTATTATACACGGTAACTTATTTGTTTATTTTTTGTAGGTATGATACGATACGATAGACCGTGCGATAATTGTATGTGCCGATTATACATCGTTGCCTTAGTAGTAGTTATGTAATAATATTAACGAAGATACGATCTCAAGCAAATGAGTAGACGAACCATGTGCAACGTTGCTCGTTGCGATAAATAATGCAAATGGGATTTTTTCGGCAGTCTTTCCCTTCTCTGTTCTCAATCAAAATAAGCAACGAAGAACGCATGCAGCATCCGTTCCGATTGAAAATGTACGCTCTGAATGAAACTCACGTGTGAGTCACGTTGTTGTTCGGGATTCCTCCCTTTACGCGAGAATTTCCTTTGTCGCTATAATCTTAGTTTTCGTTTAATAACCAATGCATCAGTACCGATATATTCGTTTTCTGCAAGCAGATCTGCTTCAAATATAATAATAACACGTATTATGTATTTTAGTGAAGATTGCTTACCGTGACAGGATTAGATTAGTTGCCGCTAATGATGGATAATGATAATTAGAACTGTATTACAACGCGATACTTACGATACTTTTCTGACATAATCATTTTCTTCTGATCTATTGTCTGTTAACATTTATTGGATTACGTATTAGATACTGTATAAATATCGATAATCCCGCCAGGATAGGCTGATTCTAGATAGCCTGCGTGCATAAATCGCATATCGAAATCGATTGTAGCTGAACGCGCAGCTCGTAACAACTTTATTAATAGTAATCCTAGCCACGTTGTCGCGCGTTCAAGGATATTCGGAGAAGAGAGGGAAAGTCTGTCATCGAGAAAGGCAGATCCTTTTGTAACTCGAACGAAACACGTTTGCTTGGTGGTGATTCGCATCGGTTTGCATTACGTTTCCCGATTCCCGACGACGCAACGCGTCGCGTCAGGGAATCTCTCTTTCTCTCCATCGCACTTTTTCGATCGATCGCGATCGCACACGATACGATTGCACGATATGCGCCCGGAAATTCGACTTCACTCCGTTATCTGACTCTCCGTAGCGACGTCGCGCCTTGATTAAATAACCATCTACCTGGAGAATACTCAGTCATTAACTAATGTTTGATTTCGTGCCGCGATTTGCGCGCGCGGGTCGCGCTTACAACGCGCAGTTCCTATTCGAGAAAATTATATTCTTGCTTGTTGCGCCTGTACGCCGAGTTGTTTCTCGATGTTACCGGTATATTCTTTTGCTTTTGTCCTGACTGCAGAGCTATAGTAGATCAGTAGGTTGGCCAATGAAATATCATTGCAATATCATGTTTTTTTTATGCGGATATAAATTTTCATGTTGTGACATATCTATATAGATAATCATTCCTCCGTAGAATTCTACTTGTTTGAAATTGTTGGATGATAAATGTAGTTCATAATTAGAATTCGTGCCAATGATAGTTTATTGATTCTTGTTACGATCTACGATTTTTTGTTCGCATCCCGATAATTCGGCTCAATTATAGCGTGGATTCCGTTTAATCCGACCTCGCACGTTCAAACAAAGAAAAGAAACAGAATTTCACGTATCATCGTTGTTTCTTTCTCATCTGTTTGAGAAAACAAGATCTTTATTCGTTTCTTTTTTGAAGCGTAATTTTATTTTTGATGTATCGCTCCGTTCCGCTTCGTTCTTCCAGATCGAAACATCCCGTTCACATTACGGAGTCGCACACATTATTAAGAATATACTCCTTCTCGGTACCTAGGTTAATCATTGTTTACGTAACACAATCGATACAGCGGAGGGATATTTATGTAGAAAATGAATGACACAGATTTCACAGCAGCTGATTTTTTTTCGTCGAAAGAAAAGCGCGACTTATAGGAGGAATTACGTAAGTTCGTATTGCGACCGTGTTTCGATTCGCGTCGAATCACGTTCGTCGAACGTACTTGTAAAACCCGCGAATATCTGGGACGTGATAATTTTTCGGCGACCTTGCGGCATAACTGAGATTTAAATAAAGCACACTCGCTCTCGAAATGCATAGAAAATATGTGGAAAAGTGGAAATCGTTTCGTGAACAAGCATGCAAACGCGTTTCGTTTTTAGAAGCATTCTAGTTATCCTTGTGTAATCGTTGTTGCCCCAAGAAATGGAATCGGAGTAGCTCCGTTCGAGATGATACAATTTATCAAAAACATTTATTTTTTCTCGATCTTCTTTCGTTGCACCGTAAGCAAAATTTTGTTGATCGTACTAGTTCCATCGCGCACTTGAAGTAATTCGAGAAAACGATAAGCCGTATTTTGTCTGATAATCGAGACAAGATATCGCAAGAAGCTGGCCTGCCGGCCAGTTTGTTCTGTTTTCGCTAAGCGAAACCTTTAACGTTTCGGAGTACTGTCGGCGTTCTCGGAAGGGAGGCGATTCTCCGTGTGTCATGAATTTGTTTTTGTTCGAATACCTAAAAAGGCATAAGGTAGAAAAATGGTGGATCACGCAGGATCTGTTCTGTCTGTCCCGATGTCCTTCCATGCTCGCGTGAGCCCGTGCGTGCGTAAATCGAGGAAAGATGAGAGAAGAAAGAGGCCTATATACCGCACAGCCAGCGCGAATAAGTGCACAGCTCACGTACCGTCTGTTTTCTTTCCTTTCTTCCTTTTAAAAAACGTGGGAGCCCGCACTCCGTCTGGTTGACCGTGCAATCGACGATTAAACCCGATTAAGTCGCGCCTCTCGTTTGATGCATACGTGGAAAGAATTTCACGGCGAACGCGACTCTCTGTCCTCGAGCAGGCAACGGTGCGTCAGCAAGATGACTGAAATTGCAGAACGAACGAGACCGTGTGGATCGCCACGTTCTCCTTGTTCACCGATGAACAATTTTTGCTATTTTGTCTAGCCGCGATCTCGCGTTTCTCGAAAACTGTCCCACGTTTTCGTTCACGGCCTGATCGACTTGTCTTCGTCAGACAATTGCAGACGAACGAACGCGATGTTTCTGCGAACGCGGTGATTTCAGCACGGCGCCGGTGTTGTATCATTTAATGGAATTACACTTTGAATAATGCAATGCACACGAGCGAACGATCCAGGTATTGAAAATGTAAAGAATCCGGCGGTAAAAATCTTGCAGCGGTAACACGGCGACTCGGGCACTTTTATTTTTTCTAACAGCGGAATCGCACGCCTCGTGTGCATTGCATCATTAAAAATATAATCCTGCGGAGTCGCGTAGCGTCGTTCACCGCTGTGAAATCGCGACGACTCGTCGCATCGCTCTTTTATTTTTTTAACGAAGCAACGAGCCGCGAGCGTGTGCCGCTGTTATTGAAAATGTGAAATTGCCACCGCCACAAAATTGCTATCACGGTTGCTGCCACGGTTTCGTCCACGCCTGAGCGTATCCCTACTTTCTATCCGATCGCCTCTCTTGCTTCTGTCAACTCTCTCATTCGAGAATTTTCGAGAAGCAGTCCCACAGATCTTATAAATCGGCGTAGCTATCGGTCGATCAAAGGATTGGTTCATCGACGTATCGACAAGGAGTCTCGATGCAGCCGTGATACGCCACCTTTCAAAACGGTCGATAAAAGGCGCGCGCGCGTCACTACGGATGGATCGTCGAAACATTCGAGTTACTCGATATTACCAGAGAACCGACGATATTGTTGTCCGTATATATACATTGTCGTTACGTAACAACTTGGTAAAATAGACGGGGCCGATTGTGTATACTGGCGATTTCATAGAAAATGAATACGTGTTCTCTCTCTCTCTCTCTCTCTCTCTCTCTCTCGAATCATGAAGATTGTTTACGGTGATTTCACTTTTCTACTTTCGTATCTATCCAGCACAAGCTGCCACGCAGGGTTCCGAATGATTTGTATTTTCCGAAGAACGCAAATCACGTTGCAAACGCATGTAGAAAGAACGCGCATTCCGTGCAACCGCGTTTCATCTTAAAAATCGCTTCGAACGATTGAAGTGCGTTTCGTTCGAGTGTTTCGTTTATTTGTTGTCGAGGCGATGGTGAGGTCATCGTTGTTGAAACGCGAGGCTTCGTTCCATTGGCATTTGCCATCCGCGAAGCCACGTTTACTATATTTTCCGAAACTAACACTTTCCTCGATGTTCGCTGGATATGCTCGGCTGGGACCGGTGGATAATGCTTAACGCGCGAATTCAGGCCTGAAATTGAGATCGAGATCGCGCAGGAAACTACCATATAAATTCCGTGCGAGCGTTTCTGAATTATTATGTAACGAAGAGTAGTGTCGAGCGATTCCAATTGAGGGTCACACGCACGTAGACTGTACATAACGAACAGATAGATAAGCAGAGAAAGCGAGCGAGAGAGAGAGAAAGAGAAAGAGAAGGAGGGAAAATTACGGAGATGAAACAGCAGAAAGAAGAGATTCAAAAATCAAAACGATCCGATAGCCATTTTTATTCATTAATATTCTATTCTTACACGTTGCAACGAAATACTAACTTATTCGAAAATTGAAGCTAAAATTTGTATTGATGAAACAAAGTTTCATTACAGACACGAGAGATTTTTTTGTTAAACTGAACGATGAATATGTAACTCCAGACATCACGAGGCATACGGATTAATCGCAAGCTTTTGAAAAATTTCGTTCGACGGATCGCACAGAATCGTGAATGGAGTAAAATTGCGCGTAAATTACTTCCGTGATGATCATTTATCTCGTTTCCTTCATTTGTTGGCTGGTTGGGTTCTTCCGTTTCCGGTCCTCTTGTATCTCCCTGGGACCCATCAGAGATCGAAAGAAAAGACGACGATCGTGGCGATCGAGGGATCGCGCTGGTCAATTCGTTCGGCAAGTTACCCCCGTCAAGAGAGAAACACTGCGCCGAATGTACAGGCAGCAGAAGTTTCTTTTTGTCGGTAAGGCGCCACCGCTTCCGGCGCGGCAGACGCGAATACAGGAGTCTAGAGCGAAAAAGAGAGAGCAAAGGAAGCAAGAGGAAGTTGGCTGGTGGAAGTGTATATGTATACATTAAAGCGGGAGTTTTACGACGCGGCCGAGCGTCGTGCTCTCGCGGCCAGCTTAAACCCCGATATTTCGGATGATGCTACCACTTTCTTCGCGGCGCGGTCAATGACAATGAACGTTTGATAACGTTGATGAAGTGTCGTTTCATCGATTCGCGATTCTGCTTCTGATAAATCAAGTTACGTGATCGATAATACGTGCGATTCGCTCCATTTTGCGCAAAGTTTGGAGCTGGTTGACGATCGTGTGATACGATTTGCGGCGAATAATTCGCGAAAACGATCCGATCCGTAAGCCCATCGTTTGTAAGTTCTCGAGAGGGTAAGGCTGAAGCGAGTGGTAGCTGGTCGATTGACTTCCTTTTATTTTTGTTTCTGGGCCGAAAGGCCTAGCCCAGGCGGTGTCGGCGACAACGGTGTTCAAGGTGTACGCGGCAAAGGTTTACCGCACGTGATCTACTGCCGACTTTGGCGCTGGCCAGATCTGCAATCGCACCACGAGCTAAGGGCAATCGAGCATTGCGAGTACGCGTTCACGCAGAAACGGGACGAAGTTTGCATCAACCCGTACCACTATCAACGAATACAAACACCAGGTACGTAAAGTAGATTACAGATTTCGGGACAGGATCCTCTGTTTACGTTTCTTCTTCAATGTGTAACTTGAAGATTATAACGTACACATATTATGCTCGTTTGGTTTAATATTGAGTTTTCAACAAGTAAGCTTTCTATACTAAAAAGTTTTCATCACGGTGACGGAAACGTTATGAACGACGTAAATGAAGCATCGCGCGATTTTACCAGCGGTATGAAATTTTACAGTTTTGCCAGCCATTCTCGTACCACGGCACAACTTAGCTGGGGACGAGTCCGTCCTGTACAACACTTCTATCGAGGAGCTCAGTGTCAGCGTGCCAGAGAACACAAACTTTCACGCGACCTTAAATCATCAGCACCACAATCAACAGAGTATACCGCAATCTCCACAGCAGCAGCAGCAGCAACAACAACAACAGCAACAACCACCGAATAATCCGTATCAAGGAATACAGGTTGGTTGTCGAAGGAAATTATCTCTCTTGTTTCCAAGTAAACGAAACTTTCTTCATGTTCTTCTAGAGTATGCAGGCGACGAGTCCGGCTAGCGTTGGGAGTTTAGGAAGCGTTCAGGGTTCACCCCATCCGGCTCCTGGATCCATGGATCCTCCTGCCGATACCCCTCCTCCGGGATATATAAGCGAAGATGGTGACAACATGGATCATAACGACAACATGTCTTTATCACGCTTGTCTCCCAGTCCCGTCGACGCACAACCAGTTATGTATTGCGAGCCGGCATTTTGGTGAGTAGTCGTTCACAAATTACTCCAACTTCGTTCAGGACGATCGGCTGAAATTACTCTTCAACGTCTGATTTTTCTCATCTTTATCTTTTTTTTTTTACAAGGTGTTCGATAAGTTACTACGAATTGAATACGAGAGTAGGCGAGACGTTTCACGCGTCGCAACCGAGCATAACGGTGGATGGATTCACCGATCCTAGTAACTCCGAACGTTTCTGTTTGGGCTTATTGTCGAACGTCAATCGTAACACCGTTGTTGAACAAACGAGACGACATATCGGGAAAGGAGCTAGATTATACTACATCGGTGGTGAGGTGTTCGCCGAATGCTTATCCGATTCGAGCATATTTGTGCAAAGTCCTAATTGTAATCAACGTTACGGCTGGCACCCTGCCACTGTTTGTAAAATACCACCCGGTAGGTATAGTTGTGTATTCGTTGTTTTCCATGTATTATTTTGATCTTAATTAAAGCTTTCACGGAACTTTTCTTATTTGATCCTTTCCTCAGGTTGTAATTTGAAGATCTTCAATAACCAAGAATTTGCCGCATTGTTGTCGCAATCAGTTTCGCAAGGATTCGAAGCAGTGTACCAGTTGACTCGAATGTGTACGATCAGAATGAGTTTCGTAAAGGGTTGGGGAGCAGCGTACCGTCGTCAAACTGTAACGTCAACTCCTTGTTGGATCGAATTGCATTTAAATGGTCCGTTACAGTGGCTCGACAGAGTGCTCACGCAGATGGGATCGCCGCGTTTACCCTGTTCCTCGATGTCGTAAGGTTTTATCTTTCTCTCCTTCATGGATTTGGAAAACAAGAACTGACTCGTGCGCTGTCATCGTCGTCGGCGTTGTGCAAATTAGTTTTTCTTATCGCCGATTGATTGTTTTTATCCAAATTCTTTCCAACGGATCACGGCGATGAACGGTGCAAAAAGGAAAAGATACTATTACGATTTTTACAAAGCGTGTACGTGTCTCCTGATTTGAAAAGTGCATGGAGTACGAGATCGACTTCGGTGTTCGGTGTGCCAGAAGAACGTTCGATTGGACGAATGAAAATAAAACTGACGATGGTTAGCTGTGAGAACACTTGAGTGCTCAAATCGCTATGTTTCATTCTACGAAAAGAAGGAAAGGACGATGTGCGGGCAAAAAAGTGCGTATGAAACCAGTTGGCGCGCAATTATCACCAGTACAGAAAATCAGTTTTCTAATAAACTGAGACATTACAATCGAGAATACTAAATAACAAAATAAGTAGATATTATTCACTCATTGCACTAACGTGTGGGTATAGTGCTTTACGATCCAGGGTTACGAATCCGATTTTAACTGAATTAATAGGGCGAAAACAAGCGCGATTCTATGTGTGCATGTGTGTATATACGCATACATATGCACGTACGTCCGTATCCATATACATATGTAGGTGCATATGTATATCTATATCATGTCAAAAGAAAAGCTCAGTCTTTACATATTTTTATCGCTTGTTAAGTCAACGCACTTCAGTCGTACAGTATACGTCAGCCCTTACAAGGGTAAATACATAATATGTACATTCACACAGTTTATAGTCTGGTGAGAAGAATTTCTATAGAACGGGTGTAAATTTGTATACCCATTGAAAAGTTTCTAACAGCACTGGTCTATTCGGAATCTTTGTCAGTGTTTTTCCTACGAATAAAGCGTTAAAAAAGACACCTAAAGTCTATTTCTCTTATACGATAACGATACGGAATGATTACAGTGTTCAATATGTACATAACTATTTACACGTTTCGTTAACGTTACTACATCCTCGGATGGACAAGAATATTCAAATATTCTCACAATGGATCGCATCAGGACGGACAGTTATGTTTCTACGTATTCGAAGGTTTTACGAACGGTTAGTCAGTTTAGAGGAATTATTCGTAACGCGAACAACGTTTTAACACACATTTTTGGCTCGAAATTGAAAATGTTATTATTGTATATTAAGATGTCACCTTGAATAATTGATATTCTTATCGAGAATAAGCGCAATATTTACGTTGATAGAAGTATTGAGCGCATGAAGTCTGTGGTAGACAGAAATATTTACTTGATATCGTATGGAGAATCAGAAGATTATATACGTATATTTACTATCGAGCGTCTAAAACTTTATGCGCCACATAGCAGACGTTAAAGTGCACATTTTGGTGTTCAGTGTAGCGAACCACTTGTTAGTTGAAAATCATTGCAGAAATGTTTGGTTCATTGTATATGATCGTGAATGATACTTCTTCTTTTTTTTAATGACGGAAATGATATTTTCTTATGAAAAAAAGGCCTGAATTGCATTGGCTGCAACTAATGACGCGAGTCTTTATAAGCGCCTTGTTTATAAGCGCGGGCATCAAAATTTGGTAGCCTACAAGCCGCTCGGGACCATCCAGTTTGAGCAGCCGCAGATTTTTGTCACACATCGTGCTGCTTCGATGCGTCGTTATACAGATACCTCTCCGCCTATAGTTTGCACACTCTCGTCTTACGGAGCAGCAACTTGAGCATAATACGAGGCGAGATCTTTTGCGCGAGAGAAATTCTTTTCAAACATATGCGCACATCCGTTGCTAGCGTCACTCTGATCGCATATAGATCTTGCTCATCCACAATACCTAGCGAAAACAGTGTCTTTAGTCAGTTAATATATGTAGATGCACGATCTTCTGAAATTTTACAAGGTATGATTAGAAAGTTCGGCGATTTTGTCCATAAATATTTTATTGTTAATCGTTGAAATAATTCCCATTGGAATCTTCTCTTCCAGTTTTTAAAAGTCATCTGATATATTAAAACTGGAATTGAATTTAATTTATTCGTTAATTTGTCAATGATTTCTTCCTCCTGCTTAAGGTAGGGCAAAAGGAAAAAGTTTGTTGAAGACAAGTTGAGCGGAAATAAATTTTGGACCAAATGTTCTTAGATAAGAAGTGTTGTATGTAGCCTTACATTGTCATAATGTAACAGCCGTGCTTTTCTATGCACAGTTATGTTGAGAAGATCTTGTACAATTTCTTTTTAGTTTCTCTTTTGTCCCGCTGATTAACACCACATCGCTGTATTCCAATTAATTTAGTACGAACCGTTTTTGAGTTGTTTTATTGTGATTCATTGATCTTTTTTGGACGAATCAAATCCCCGAACTTCTTGATCACACCTTGTATATGATGTTAATGAACATACATAGGAAAAGCGCATACAGTTTTCGAGCGATACAAAAAGCGATGGAATGAAAATTTGTAAGCATAAGAAAACCTTATCATGAAGAAAGAATGCAAGAAAATAATGGTCTGGCCTTGAATGTGAGATACTTTTAGATATATTGATCATATTTGTTTGTATACTATTTTAAATTTATTTATTTACAAATTGTTTTAGAAACGTGTATATTAAAAAATTTCTATTTTATTGGAGATTTTATAGAATATTTCATATTCGAGACTATCAGAACCGAAAAGGGAATACAATTTTTGAAATCTTCGACGTCTTTCACGTAGAACATATGAACAAAATGAAATAACGAAGTTACGTATTTTATTGTATTACGAGATATATATTAATATCCATGTACGGATAGTTTTTGCGCTAAGTGCATGGATTCAGTTATCATTTTCTTCTTTTTTTAAGGAATAAATTTGTAAAGATAATCTATATACGACTTCTATGGAGTCTTTATGTACGATGGGGGCCAATTGTACGCACAGAAATGAGATCTCAATAAGAATGTGAAATCTTATGAGGAATCGGTTCCTTTTTATATATTTTTTGCCAGTGCCGTTACTTTTGAAGTAGCGGACAGCTGGTTTAATTATTAATTTCTATAAAATATAAAAGTGTATAAATTATATCAAGTAAAGGGAAACAGTCGTTTCGACGAAGAAGGATTATGCGCTAAGCTTTTAATCACTTTTATGAAAAGGCGAGTGATTCTTGATCCATTATAAATAATGTTTTTCATGAATTGATCAACGTCTGTTGTTCGTATTGTGCAGCTGATAATTTTTTAATATCCCATGTCTCTTTTCTAACAATTTTTTTTTATTTTTTTTTACTGTTTACAGACCGACCTTTTGCACATCGTTAGATTAAGGGATACGAACGTGACGACGACGATTCATGAATTTATCAATTAGAAATTTTTACCGAATCAATACCATGTTCCAACGATCGTGTTACTTTACCAAACCATTAGAAGAATATCGAAGGGAGGACGAGTTTAGGCAATAGCTATGAAAAAAGATAGTTCAAAAAAAGCAAGCTTTTAAGCGATATAGTTTTATTGATTCTTAGATAGTGTTATAATTGTATAACGACACGTATACGTTGGTTTCTCTTTTATGAGGATATTTCCTGCTTCTAATAAACATGCATATCTGATGCTTCATTCGTGAGGAAAAATCGATACTATCGTAAAAAGTTATTACATGTCACAAAAAAATCGTATACCTTGTGAAAGTTGAACACGATATCGTCGGGCAGCTCGAATAATCGAATAGTTATAGAAATAAGAAACAGTTGTTTACTGGTACAAAATACAAATCTCCTTGAACTTGTGCTAATTGGTACTGTCTCGCATAAGAAAAAATTTGAATTACTTAACGATTACTTGCCTCTTTGCCAAACTGCCATTACTGTACTAATTAAGAAAACATAAACAGAGGAACCGAAGAACTCTTGCCTTTCTTCGTTGTCCTCGATCTCCTATTCGTTCGTTTTACGTTAGCATAAGATCAAAATGAATCTACACTTTATGACGAAAAGATAGCACACCTGTGAATACTGTAATTTCTTACATGTACATATAAATGCAATACAATATAAATTAAAAATGTGTATTTAAGCGAAATGAGCTCAAATACATTATATGTATGTATTATATTCGTTTTTTCCTCCTATTTAAAAGGCAATCATTTTTCATTAACTTTTTATGCTACGTAATAAATAAAGTAATAAATAATAAACAATTATATGTGTATGTATATATATATATATATATATAATTACAATTGAAATGAATTAATTCACTACGTCCAAATTGAAGAAACCAGGCGTGCTATCTTTCTGTCGCAGACTATATGAGGCGAACAAAGAGACAGACCACTGAATGCGTTTAATTCGCCAAAGTATACTAAGTATAGCAATTGCCAAAGTTTCTTTTGTAAATATAAGAATGTCGAACCAATTAATTACAGTAATCGCGATTTAAACGCGCACAAATTGTTGAATTATTTGCGCTATCGCTTTTTTTATCACAAATTTCCAATTGTTACCATTGTTAATCGCGTCTCATTGTTATGTTTTTTTTTCTTTTTTAATTCTAAGTATATTTAGTGTCTTGACCTGCCGAACAATCGAGCGGTCCGACGATTTTATGAATTTTTAATTTTATGGTTGGTTATATATTTTGTGTGTTAATACCCACGTGCACACAAAGGGAAGGATCGACTAACGTATGACTTTTACAAATCAGATATTTTTTTACATATTAGAAAGATGTGACATTTTTTTGTGTGCGATGTATTTAATAACGATTATTATTGTCGATGTTTTCCTGGTGTGCATGGGAATCTTTTATGAGACTATAAGATAAAATTGTGAGCTCGAAATAACGAGTGCGGGAGTATAGATGAGACAAGAAATGTCGAGTGTGAGATTGTATGATAATTATAAATAAATGTACACATTAAGTCTAATAAACATGCTTCTGTCGCCTTTTTTTATTACTTTATAGCTATTACGGTGTTGAAGAAGCTACGAAGTTTAATATATCTGTAAGTACGAAGTAACATTTTGTTTAAATTATTTACGTGTCTAGGAATATCCTAACTTTTAGTGCAGTTATAGGAACATAAACTTGGGATTAAGGAACATGAAGACATAAATCTATTAATAAATATTCATTAACAACTTTGTGTGGCGAAAAATTTGTATCATTTGACTACGAAAAAGTGGGGATACAAGTATACAATGTGCTTATATTACTTAGTCATCAACGTTCGTGACTAAGTAGCAGCAACAATCGCATTAAAACTTCAGCTGAGTTGATATTGCAAAACATTTTAAAAATTAACTCTCACAGACCATCCCTCAAAGACTGTCGAATCGCATTTATTTTTCTACAAATATCGTGATATGGGAAACCTTACATTTTAATTATATGGCACACTGATGTAATAAGTCAGGAGCTTCGAAACATGAAACAATTACTTTTACAGCTTAAGCAGAATCATATTATTGCATTTTTAGTACATTTTATAATTATTTTCTGCTACTTTGGCTCTTTTTTAGGTCTAAAATATGTAATGTGTGAAATCACTCGCACGTTTAATGTAATTAACATACTTCATTAGAAAAAGTTGAATCTTTACAGGATATGAATCATGAAAGGATTCATGATACACACATTGGACATTTCAATTTGAGCATGATACTAATATATATATTCGGTATAACAAACTCTCGCTTATTCGATAAAATATTCCTCTTGCCTTCTCATTTTTTCTTTCTCTCTCCCTCTTTTTCGGATGATGCGTTGCTGCTGATTTTAATAACGGTGTTATAAACGAGCATTGTGTTTCGATGTCAGCATTTTCTTGACTGAAAATATGCTCATAGATAGGCCAATAGTTGCAAGGATACACGCTGATTTAGTGACGTTGCGTTCGACCACATTCTTACGGAACATGGACGAGACGGTAGACTACAACAAAGAGTGAATTTCTTTCGTACAAGATCAAGATTGAAATGATTTGATTTTTCTAGAAGTGTTACGTATTATGTAACACTTGTCTTCACGCATCAAATGTTTACCTGTTGTAATGATAATCTAAGAGCATAGAGGGTGGCAGGAGTCGGATACATCTCTAAACCACGGCTTTGCTTCGTACTCTGAAAGAACAATAGAATAAATAAATTATGTATTTTGTTACATAATTTATATATATATAATAAAAGACACGTATATGAAATTTATAAACGAAGTATATGCGAAATTGAATCATATTCAAATTAGTTACAAACAATTTGAACTGCACTTCTGTAAACCATGTTTTCGCCATGATTGAAATTGATCCTTTTGTATTTGATCTCTGAAGAAGAGTGATAACGCCAATTTGCAAAATCACCCGTGAAACTGCGTTAAAAGCCATTTTATTAATTTTTAAAATTATTCCATGTCATATATTATAAATTTCTATACGTTGTTTAAATTTCTTTAAATTTCCAACACAAAAGATGCGCAATAAATGCAGAATGTATGTGAATGATGTGAAGGTTGCATTGATAAGTGACAACGCATACGTTTAATTTAAAAAATACTATTACACACATTATTGAAATATCACTGTTTAACCTCCACAATATGATTAACATTTTATTAAGCTTATCAAGAACCGTGACTGAAGTTGCTCTACATCATTGACGCACTATATAATGAGGGATCGAGTTTTGTTAGTGTAATGAATAAAGGGTGAAGAATTCGAGGCGTGAGGTATTTCCTTCCCAAAAGTCTTTACTCGACTGTCTGATTATCGTCCGATCAGCCATCCCCCTTCCCAGAGACAAACCTCTTCTCGGAACATAAATATTTCGTTCCTATCGCGATCGTCCCAATGATCACCTTCATTAGTAAAGTTACTCTAACATTACTGCGCGCCGTTACACAGATATGGCTTGGCGCCGTCTATGATTATATTTTCCTATATTTAAATATCTTTATATAACGATACACGATATTTTCAGTCAATGACAGAGAAACGCAAAAAATTTTGTTACCTACAATTTAACACTGAAATGTTGTGCACAAGGTACGCTAATTTTTCTTGGCTGATCTTCGCCAGTACATTCCACATGCAAGATAAAATGTCACGTAAACACAGTTCTTTTTTAAAACTTTATCAAAAAGTCGTAAGAGAAATAGAAAACCAAGCTTAGGTATTTAACTATAGTACGATTTATATAATGTTAATTTACATAATGGGATCAATTTTATATTTCATTATTATCGATCTTGTATCATGTTAATATTTCCATTTGAAACATTAAAATATGGATTTTATAATATAAGAAAACCACGCACAATGTGTAACGTAAATTTGAACTACATATTATCAGTCAAGATTTGATATACGATTACATTTGCGGCACGCTTATCACTCCATTTCCACATGTCTCTATATGAAAATGAAGAAATATAATATTACAGAGAAATTGATCGTTGATCTCATCTCATTCATTTTTATCTAAATGTAACTAAAATAAACGTAACGTCTTCGTTTATTTGTCTCATTTGTCTCCAGAAAAAATACCACGTGATAATCTTAACCTATAAGTTCACGGTAGAATGGTTTCCATTAAAATAAAAATAGAGCGATCGAGGACAACGGTTTAAAGAACAACACAAAAACAAAGTTTTCTCATCAATTCTAAAACACTTGTTGTTTTTATTAATTAAATTTCTGAAAGATGTGGCTTTTCGTGTGTTATTCGGTGTAAATTAATGGGGTTTAAGCAGCATGGAATTTTCTTGGACGTTCTCTTATGCAATCGATACAACAATAGTGTAAAGAAAAATCCCGAGGTTGAATTTTACGGTAAAAGCGTATTTTAAATTCAGGCACTTACCGATGTGTGCGAAATTTTACCGATGAAAGAGATAAATCACCGAAGATTCCGACAATTCTTCGTCTCAAGTTGTTGTCTCACCACTGTCGATGTTACACTTCTAACTTCCAGACATCGATTATAGCGACCGCTACCTTCGCGCAATTTAAAACAGCGCCACCTACATTTGCTCAAACTTTCCGGCGCAAGATGAGTTTCCAATAGAACATGTAGCGACATCTTTTTTGTAAAAGAAATAAAAAACCCGGGAAACCAGAAAAACGCGGGAAAAGAGTTTTCCCTCTCTTCGCAAATCAAGGGTACAAAAATATATGCGTAATCCTTTTACAGTCTATATATAGTCTTTGGTTTGTTTTACAAATGTGCGCTTACAAATTTTAATATGAGATGTTTCTTACCAGCGGTAGTAGTAGTAGCGAAGGTAGTAGTGAACGTAGTAGCAGAAGTAGTAGTAGGCCTTTTCCCTCTTCGCAACCAGGTTTTATACCCTTGATTAGCGAAGAGGGGGAAAACTCTTTTCCCGCGTTTTTCCAGTTTTCCCGGGTTTTTTATTTCTTTTATAAAAAAAGATGTCGCTGCATGTTTTATTGGAAACTCACCTTACGACAGAAAGTTTGAGCGGATGTCGGTGGCGCTGTTTCAAATTGCGCGGAGGTAGCGGTCACTACATGATTTATATCTATTGCGCCATCTCTTAATGCTTCAACACACTTACCTTAGCGCTTCAATCATTTTCTGTGATTTCATTTCCAGCAGATGGTAAGAAGGCTGTACATATTTATTATACGATGGTATTGAGGACCGACTCTTTTTTAAATTGCTATTTAAGAGATGCCGCTATATTATACTTCAATTAAATAAATTAAAAACATTCTTGTGTAATTGTAATCCATAGGACATTCTATTATTTTATAAGAAATCTTCTTACTCGACAGATAAATCCGATAAATGTGATTGTGATTGCGAACAAAGGCCTTTGTTTAATGCTTACCTATCATTTTGTTGATTAAAACGTGAACTTCGTCAGAGAAAATAGTTAGTGACGCATCTCTTTATCTCGGATTCATTTCCGTGGGATGCCACAATATCCTTTGAAGTTGGCAGTATCGCCACACCTCGTTCGTGCAAAATTAAATTAACATTAAGAGAGAAACTATGATCCGTTGGGTGATATTCTTCTCCTGTTTTCAATTCTTCTCATCGGTATTTAGCCAGTACAAAGATGCGGAAAGTTTTTGCGCGGCTCAACAGATTTGCAAAAATTGTCTGCAGACCTCGCAGTGTGTTTGGTGTTCTACACCGGTGATCGTCGTTTTTCAATTAATTGTTAAATCATTGACGAAATAATTTTAACAATTAGAAACGAATTTCTCTCTATTTAGCTTTCCGATCAGAACGTGAACGGTCCACTGGTTCGTTGTGTCATCAGAGAGAAATTTTCAAACGAAGGCAGTCACTGGTGTCACACGTCAGACGTGATAGACGAAACGAGTCAAGTGCTATTGCTCGAAGATCGACCATTGTCCTCGATAAAAGGCACAAGCCCGGTTCAGATTCAGCCTCAGAGAATTCGCTTGAAACTCAAACGAGGAAAGTATCAGTTTCTCCTTGTAAGAGAATTTCGTTCGTAATTGAAACATAATTCTGGTTGAAATTCTCTCACAGGTGAGAAATACCGGCTGACTTTAAAGTACAGCCAGGCAGAGGACTATCCAGTCGATCTGTATTATCTGATGGATCTGTCGGCATCTATGGAGGATTCTAGGAATCTGCTGTCAGAATTGGGCCGCGAATTGGCAGACGCTATGCGAAACTTGACTTCCAACTTCCGCCTAGGATTCGGCAGTTTTGTGGACAAAGTTGTGCTGCCCATGACTCTGACACAACCGGAAAAGTATCTTGGACATTTGACGTTCGCATTTCGTTTGCATCGTATACGCTTTCTCAATCCATAATTATTTTACAGGTTGAAGTCTCCGTGTACCTTGAAATCCGGAAAACCGTGTGCACCACCGTACGATTACAAGAATCAAATGCCTCTTAGTGAGAACATTGATCTTTTCAAGGTAATTGTTATTAATAGAGGTTAATTTCCAACCTCTTGATTGCTGATTGACACTTTGTGCGATAGACTCGCGTGCGAGAGGCACCGGTGTCTGGTAACTTGGACGCGCCCGAAGGTGGTCTCGATGCGATGATGCAAGCGATGGTTTGTACTAACGAAATTGGTTGGCGACAGGATGCCCGACATCTTATCGTTTTCTCGACAGACGCCAGTTTTCATGTCGCTGGAGACGGCAGAGTACGTAAAAACGGAGATCTCTCTTTTTTTTTTTTTGGTTCGTTTAGGGCGTTTTATATAATCAGCATTTCAGCTGGCAGGAATTATCGAACCCAACGACTGTCTTTGTCATTTAGACGAGAAGGGTTTTTACACGCATTCGCTTCTCCAAGATTATCCATCCGTATCTCAGGTATGCAATTTCCTATTCAATCGGTTGGTCGTACGTAGGTAAAAAATTCATTTACAGTTTTGTTCTACGGTCGAACGTAGATTAACAGAATAGCTCGCGAGCACAACATGAACATCATATTTGCGGTGAAAAGCGAGAGGAAAACGACGTATGAATTATTGAGTGGAAGTATCAGCGGTTCCTCCGTCGAAACGTTGCAGAACAACTCTAAAGGCATAGTTAGTCTCATCAGAGGAGAATACGAGGTATGAATTTACGAGTCTGCATAACTCTGTTATATGTTTTATGGACGAATCGACTTGTTTAGAAATTGGTTAATTCCATAACGATGACGGACAATGCACCAGAAACGATCGATGTAAAGTACTACTCCCGATGTTTGGAGAAGAACGGTGAATTAAAAGAACGACAAAAATGTGGAGGATTACGAGTGGGGAACGTCGTCGAATTTGAAGTAACGTTACAGGTATATGCGTAAATCGGATAAAGAAATTCGTAGAAAGAAATACGCTGCGTTATTTCGTGTAATTTTGTCTTGCGAGGTATGAAACATTTTGCTGATCGTAGGCGTCTGAATGTCCAACAAATCCCAGTGAATGGCAGACAACTATGCAGATAAAACCGAGGGGTATAAACGAGAGCCTGACGATCGAGCTAAGCATTATCTGTGATTGTCCCTGCGAACGTCCAGGACATCCGGTAAGAATGACGATTGAACGACGATTTTTTCTCATTTCAATCTTCTCTCACGCGTTTCTGATGAAAATATAGGGATACGTGGCAGCTTCAGACAATTGCAGAGGGAACGGTACTCTGGTTTGCGGTGTGTGTTCCTGCAACGAAGGCTTTTACGGGAAGCAGTGTGAGTGCGAAGGAAACGAAGCCGGTGCCGAGAATGCGGCTGCTATGGCTGACTGCAGGCCTAACAACGAGACTAGTGAAATTTGTAGCGGCCATGGTGACTGCAAGTGCGGTGTATGTGATTGCGCGAAGCGTCCTAATCCGCAAGAAGTTTTTTACGGAAAATATTGCGAGTGCGATAACTTTTCTTGTAAACGTAGCGAAGGATTGGTAAGTAAACCTATGATCAGCTACATGATTATTTATCATACAGACTCGGTTAAGGTGTTGTATATAAAATGACGGAAAACAAAAATGGTTTTGAAAGGAAAATGCTTTGTTCAATCGCTAGCGGTTATCGAGAAATATTTCAGCTTGCAAGAAGAACGACAGTTAATATAGGAATTGCATGTATCTAACTCTTGTCATCGGTTACAGATGGAATGATTATATTCGCGTATCATAAACTTACTTCGCAATCGTTTATTCGTATAGCTGGCCAGGTAATTTCCATTTTAAAGAAACCTGTATAGTGTCTTTCAGATAGACGGCAGATAAATTATATGCATTTGTGTGTATTCTATTATTTCTTTCTGACGATGTTGTTGCGTTTAAGGTTTGCGGCGGCCGAGGCAAGTGTGAATGCGGTACTTGCAATTGCTTGCCAGGATGGGGCGGTGAAACGTGCAATTGCAAAGAAACGAACAGCACATGCATACCGAGCAACAGCGAAACCATGGAGATTTGCAGCGGACGCGGTGACTGCATTTGCGGTAGCTGTCATTGTCACGAAAAGGACAACATCCGATACTCTGGACAGTATTGCGAAGAGTGTCCCGTAGGTCTTCTTGATAAACACATAAATATTCACTAAGCGCATACCAGCCGTGGACATGTATTTTCTCGTTTTTAGGTATGTCCTGGACAACGATGCGAAGAATTGAAGAATTGCGTGGAATGTGTGGCCTACGGGACCGGGCCTTTGGCTGGAAATGGAAAATGCGACACATGTCTGCATCAAATAGACATCGTAAGACAGTGTTCTCCAAAAACACGTTCAAACGTTCCATAGAATAGTTAGTTCACGCTCTTATAATTTTCAACGAAATAGGTAGATAAAATCGTAGAGAATCCCGAGGAGGATCAAAAGACTGGAGCTCGTATTTGTCGAACTCCGGGGGATGCCGGATGCACATTTGTGTTCAAGTACGAATATTACAGAGGTGGCAATGGGGGAGATATTAAGATACTTAAGATCCTCGCTGAGAAAGAGAGGATGTGTCCCACGCCTATCAACGTTCTCGGTAAGCACATTAAATATAATATTTAGTATTATAAATACAATATTTGGGTATTTCAGGAGTGGCTATAGGATTGATAATTAGCACTGTAATTATCGGATCTCTGATTCTTCTCACTTGGAAAATACTAACGACGATCCACGATAAACGAGAATATGCGAAATTCGAGCGAGAACGAGCTCTGGCCAAGTGGGATAAGGTAAACGATATTAATTCTTTGTTTCGACGTATCTCGTCGATAAATTAATTTCATTAATGAGAGTGTTGCTCGTTTTCAGGGCGATAATCCGCTTTACAAAAAAGCCACCTCGACATTCAGCAATCCAACATACAACGAGAATTCGAGGGATTAGATGAAATTCACTTTCGCGCGAAATATCTCGGTGGGAACTCGATTGTATCGAGAGGTAGTCACTCCGACAGGTAGCGCCACCGAATCAAGAATGACGAAGACGACGCCATGTTGGTTAATTGTTTGTGTGTGAAAACGATCTCCAGACGACGAAATCAACGCCTAGTGTTCTAATCCTGTGAAGAACAAATCTCTGTCTGCTTCTATTCCTGTATTCCCATCCAGTAAGTGACGATACATCCATATTTTCCTTATTTTTCTGCAAATATTCCCAGAATTCCGTATTTACTTTGCGTCACGTTCCGTTGCAACACGATGGCAACATGGTGGCACTTTTTAGCAGCAAAACTTCCAGTTTGCTCGGGAAACAATGCGCGAAACTGAATGACTCGCGTCAGAAAGTAAAACGAATGCGATTGAAACGGGTGGGAAAAGTAAAGTGGATAAGTGATCGCTCGTAAATCAGTTTTAAATTTGATCCAGGGATTTCGCGGAGATGGGTCCTGGCCTTTCAACCGAATATGTTTCGAATATTCCCTGGCCTCATACTTTATTGCTCGCTATGCCCGAGAAAGACAGTCTCGCAAGGAGCTCGTAAATTCGTCACCATAGTCGACTCCTGCTGCAAACCCTGCGGCGACCCGCTGTATTTCCCATCCACCTAAAGCTAACCTAAAGCTCTATCCACATTGAGTCCGCCCCATACGACTTGATTACTCTCGTCCCTGATTATTTCCATGGTCCTCATTATGTTGCAACGGTGTTTGTTTTACGGATAAAGACGAATGCCACGATATTTCAAATAATTTACCCTCTGTCGTCGTTATTACACGTTGACCATCGATTCCGGCAAATTTCGCGAAGCAAATTATTGTCATTTTCAAATTCGGCGATTGATAAAAATATATCTATCGATTCCTCTTATCTCGGTAAATTTCATCAGAAAATTGTTATCGTCTTGTAATATTTTACGACACGGTTACTCTTAACTCTGACTCTTAACCACTTGCGCTGGCAACTGATTGCGGACCATAATGAGTGACCAACCGTGTACAATAATTCGTCGCTTACTTTTTAAATTCGTGGCTGGAATAATATCACTGGATAAAAGTTACTAAGAAGTAACAAATTTATTATTTATTTTTCTGGGTTATAAATATACTTAAAGCTGAGAAAATATTGCAATTTTGGAGCAAGAAATTCTCAACGTGCGTGGCACGTCATTCCAGCCCAAGAGATTAAGAGTGCATCTTTGCACAAATAAGATTGCGTAGAATGGTAGTCATCGCGACATCCCAAATTGAGAAACAATTGGAATTTTAAACAATCGGGGGGAGACCGACGCAGTCGTTGCGAGGCAACGATTCGGTCGCGTGATCGGGCCTTAAGGGATAGCGCTGTCTAAAAGCAGTCGGAGAAAGGAGAGAATAGCGGAGCCGCATAGTAAATCACTGCCGCACGTCCGTTTCTTTACATTGTACAGATTTTATTGATTATTTTACGGCCGGGAACATTGTAAATCTCTTCATCCTGTATCGGCGTCTCACCTCGGCTCTCCGTGAGATGCTCCCACTGGGTGCCCATGGCGCCAATTACGTGAATCGAACAGTATTGTTGTGTCGTATTCGTTCTGATCTCTGTCAGCCTTCGTACCTCACGACGTATTCCCCCCTATTAGCCAACTAACGATTACTTTTCGCGTCTGCCGTCGCGGCGTTCTTGACCAATCTTTTGGAATTTTAACGGAGTTAGTTGCACCGTGGCAAAGATGTTAATAAATGGCTAGCGTGTCAATAAGTGCATGTTGATAATTACGGATCGAATTCCATAGAAGAACAAATAAAATATTTCTTCGACTTTTAGGTATGTCTTCCTTGCAAATTCTTATCGCCGAGTCGGTCGAATAGAAAACACAGAAGATACGTTATTTCTCTCTCATTTCATGACAATTTCATACAATTATTTGTTTATGCCTTAATTCTTAATACACATAAAATTTCGTGGCGCGTGCGAAATTATTATATCATACAACGTATCTAAAAATATAACAAATGTAAGTTACGCGTGCCATTCTTGGTCTTTTACGGTTTAAGATTATTGGACTTCAGTCTTCCTAGAAGTTGTAGCGGGTATGATTGACAAAGTTTAACAGGTAATTAATTATATCGCAATGTTCGCAGAAACGATATCTCATATGCATCGACCAGTTCCATTCGCTAATTTGCATTTCCCGTGTGTGTTTATTAGCATCTCGGTTTCATGTAAAAAATTTCGGACGATCGTTGCGGAGTTTGATATATGCCAGCGCGTATCGGCGAGCACCGGTCGGGTTTCGCCCGCGGAACAATGTTGTTCGTTTTCACGGTCGCTAATGGCCGCTGCCCGGTGCCTTAATTACAGCCAAATACGGTCCAATCAGCCCTCGGGGGCCGGCGATGTCGGCCCGTTTCGAGCTTTCAAGCCGGTATTGGCATATTGTCGGATTCAACCTTTCGACTGGCTTTCATTTCTCTTCGGTGCGTCCATCCTGCGTTGGTGTTTCCGGAGCATTGGCCAAGATTATCTACAGCGTTGAGAGAATGGATTACGCGTGACAAAATTTCATCTCGAAGCGGAGATTTTCAACGCTAGAACGTTTAAAGTGTAAAATCGCAGATATTAAGATTGATTCTATTAATTCTATGAGACAGAAAAATATTTCTAACACGAGGTGGAAAATCATTCGAATATTTAAAGATGCATTCATTACGTGAATATGTAAAAATTTCCACGAATAATCAAGATCGTTCCGACATCTTTGGTAGTCTTTTAGCGTTAATGAGACTCGGATTGCTAGATTAACGAGTGAAACGATGTTTGCCAATATTTCGCGGGCGGTAGGACGTTGTTTATGACGCGCAGAGGAATTGTTGGTATCCCGGATGATTGGAAGGTTGATGGGCGCGGAATAAATTTCGGGCGATACCGTTGATCGTGGCGCGTCGTGGCGGTCAGAGCGGCCAACTGTTGGCCGATCGAGGACTGGTGAACGGAGAGGTGCACCACCTCTTCGCGTCCAGCGCAGGCCGAGGCTCGTTAGTGCGCGCCCGTAAATCAAGCCGCAGGGGTGCCAACCCGCTAATATTACCGGGGTTCCTCGAGGATAGGAGGAGCACGTTCGCGCCGCCGACGCGCACAGTAAACGTTCGATATATCTCATCGATAATGAGTTTGTTAAATGGATTAATATTCGACTCTCTCTCTCTCTCACACATACATTCTCTTTTCCTCCTTTAGCCGTTTAAGCTATAAACCGATATTCAAACCGGGTCGTACGAAATAATTTCCAAAGCCGACGAACCGAAAGTATTTTAGTTTCTCCCTTTTGTTAGGAAGACGCCGACGATTCGTTTGATTCACGAACGATCGTTTTCACGTCGGTTGAGCCTTGGTCGCTGTATAATTTCGCGATCGTTTTTGAGGGAAATGATTCGAACGAACGAAAGGTTTCATTTAATGGGAAAATCGTTCGTTGCTCGAGTTTTTGCCTTGGTTTACGATCCTGCGTTGCAAACACACACATCGAACGTTGTATACCGATATTCCGACGAACGCGATCCTAACAAACGAGAAGGCGAATTTTCTCGTACGTTTCGTATCGATTATCGAGGAATATATCATCGTCGTATTGAAGTTGTATCGGAATCTGGTGCGCTCCTGGAGGCTGGATAACTCGTATATACAGCCGGATAATTAATGGAGCCGGTAATGAGCTGATTATTATTAATAATATTTAGCCGAGGTTAAGCCGAGGCGACCCCGCCGTGCTGGAGCCCGGCTGCTCGTTAATTGAATCTGCCAATCATCGTAATGAGCGTCAGCGTCGGATCCGCTGTCCGTTCTTCGTTGTTGCTCTTTAGGGCCCTCGAGCTTGATGCTCGTTGCTTTTGAAAAACGAAACAAACGCTCTCTTGCAACCCTATCCTAAGAAATGTGAGCAATTTTCTTCACCGACCGCCTTTCGTGAATTTGATCGATATTACGAATCCCGTCTAGAGGCCTCTCCGTAATTGTTGCTATTCGTTTACATTAATTACACCGCGCGCGCGAAACGAATTTTTAGTAGCCACGTACACACGTACAAGGGTAAAACACCGAGACTGAATCGTTCGTACGGAACGGTTGCGAACTCGCCTCTCGTTCTTTTTTCTTCTCTCTCGTACTTTCGAAACGTGAAATAGCATGTTCGTCTCAAGCGTCTCCTTTCTCTTTCTTTTCGTTTTCTTTTTTCTTTTCGGTAGAGTTTCTTTCGAAATTGTTTTCTCGTTACGAGAGATAAAGCGGACGAAAGAGAAGTAGCAACGATAAATCGACGAGGGACAAACGTTCCCTCTCCACTTCGAAGATAAAACGTTTGCCTTTTCGCTTCGACCGGAATCCTCGAGAGTGCGTTCTTATCCCTTCGCCGCTCGAAATCAGGATTTCCGGCAATTTCCGTGAGACAGGATACTAATCGACTATGGAGAAGTAAGTGTCTGTCCCTCTTTTGTTCCAATACTGCGCGTACTCAGTTTGAACAAAGGCATTTCGAAAGCACTAACGGAAGGCACGGTAATCGTAGTTTACGTAATAACACACGTCGAGTAAAACGGATTAAGAGAATGAGAGAGAGAGAGAGAGAAAGGGAAGGAGAGCAGAGCAAAAAACGAAGATACACGGTAGAAGCGGTTTCGCGAAAACTCGTTTCTGTCGACGCCCGGTGGTAATTTTGTGTGTAGGAATTAATAGATTAGCGAAGAGCACGTTTCCTCTTAATTCCAGCCCATTACGGGGTTCGGTTTCTTGGCGCAAGGCGGGTCTGGTCGATTATGGAAGATAGCCAAAATCACCGGTGGATCGCGGAATTAGATCGAATTACCCAGATGCGAGATGATCGCCCGTAACGTAATTTCTCGTAGAATGACGAGCAACTACGTCGTCTGCCACGGTAGTCTGCGTTTTTCACCTTATCCAGCCGTCTTTCTTTCTTTCTTTTTTTCTTCTCTCTTAAATCGACGATACTTTCGTTTCCTTGTATTTCCGTCCGTCGATAAGGGGCCATTTTCTTCCTTTGTCCGATCCTCGACTTTGTTCCCTTCGTTCGGGGAACTCGAACGTTTTTTCTCCGGTTCTCGCGTGACTTCGCATAGATTTCAATTATGAACGAAATTAGAAGCGAATCGTGTTTCGCGAATATATCGGCGGCACGACTCCGGCTACCGAATGACGGGAGAAATTAATCAAAATAATCATCTCCGGGGCCCGGAGCGGCCAGCGGGGCCTGTCATTTACTCCCCTGGAACTCTTTTCCCCCGTTCTGCCTTTGGATACCGGTGTGTGTGTGTGTGTGTGTGTGTGTGTACATATACATATATATATATTCCGGTAGCCGACCGAAACCTCCTTCAGCCTCTAGCCGGGAATCTAGAAGTCCACGATGAAGCCGGCCAATCCATTATTCCGAATCTCTCGAGTTGGAATTTTAAATCAACCTCCCGAGACGAGTGTCCGACCCCGAGGAAATCTCATTCCGAAGAAGATTTTCGACCGTGGCCAGGTCTGGAACGACGTTCGAT